GAATCCGAACGGATTGTCTATCTGTATCTCAGTAAATCTGAGTAAGATAAGAAAATAACTGAACATGAATCTGAAATCAACACCAACTGAACGGTATCGCTCAGCCATCTGATAGTTTATATCAGTCAAGACTATCCATTTGGTCTCTGTATATAAATATAGATACATAATAATAATTCATGCCAACTCAGCCGGATGACTTGCCTCCTTTTGGAAGAATTAGAGATTTACCGTCCCGGTGGGAACAATAATGAGTTTCATTGTCCATGTGGGACTGACTTGGTGGCCTCTCTTTTATTTCTGCTCCTTGTCTTTTCATTTTTCCTGTAACTTTGCCTCAGCGAGCGTTGTTGTGATAGGTGTCTCCTTAGTTTTCATCTCAGAAGGGGAGACCAAATCTATCACATTTATGGGGTCGATATCCTTTTTCCTCGGTTTTATCGTTTCAATAAAAATTATACACGCCACAAACTTTTGCGAATCTTTTTCAAAGCTCATTTCATGAAAGAAATTCTTGATGCTAGTGTTACCTGGGATACCCGTGGTTTGTTTCTCTGGAGACGCAGTCGAAAATTTTTTTGGTGAATTAATGGTTTTGATTGAGATTGGATTTCCCAACGCTGAGGTTAGTGTGGGCTATCGGGTTCGTGTGGGTTTTCTTGTTGATTCTGTGGTGTTGCAGGCTGCGGCAGCGGTGTTGTTTTGGTGTCCTGTCTTTTGAGAGAGGGTGCTGTCTTTTCGAAGCTATGGATGACTATCCGTCGCTTGACGAGACCTCCGTTTCTTTGCCCTTTCTGTTCGCGCCTTTAAGCGTCATTCCTCTGGCCTGTCTGTGGTTGTGTTTTCCGCCCATCTGTTTGCCAGTTTGTGGCGTTGCCTGCCTCCTTATCTTGGCTTTTGCATCTTTTTTGGCTTGATGTTCCTTCTGGGACAGCTTCTTCGGTAGTCCTGTTTTCTCATCCTCCCGGAACAGTTCGTGCTGTGGCGCATTTGGTTGTTCGATGTCTAAAAAATGTAAGCATGGGCCTGTTTTCCTAGCTGATTTGTACGCCGTGAAGGTATGCATGGTCCATATAATTTTGGTTTTGGTACGTATGCGAAACCACTGTTTCTAAGTAAGCGAGGTGGTTTTCCCTTAGTTTGTAACCAAGCTGTGTGCTGTGTATATGAAAATTCTACAATCGAACGTTTTGTATTTTTGCTGAAATATTTTAGGGTCTTAACTTTTTGTTGCGATACAGACTGTCTTTCTAGCTAACTGTTGTATGTAATTGATGTTAGTATCCGCTTGTTTTTCTGTTGCTTTATATCTTAGATTTAAAACTTCTTTTTCCTTAGCTGGTGAAAATCTTAATTTCACAACTGTGCAATTTTTTGTGGTGAATTCCCAGTTCTTCAGGGATATATTTGATGGTTCTGGAAGATTCTTCATAGGTCGTCGTGTTATTTTCACTTCACTTTCAGACCAGCAATGAAGGTCGTGCAAGATTTCTGGTTGGAGAGGAGGATACGTCAGGTTTTTCCGATCTAAACAAGTGTGTTTTGCGTTTTACAAGCTTAGGTTATTTGGTGAAATAGTTGTAGCTATGTTAGATAATGATGTGTTATGTTAGGCTTTGGCCCATGTGGGCTTCGTATGGAGAGATTTTTGTGGTTTATCGCCTCTAGAGATTTTTGTCTAGTTTCGACCGAATAAAGCGAACGAATAAAGAGATGATAACTGGTTAAATTGGTCATTTAGGCTTAAAACATCTTAAATTTTCCGAACAAAAACTTATTTTGAATGCTTTATTTGGCACTTTCTTGACAAATGAATTCTCTTACCTTATTTTTAAAGCTGTTGTGCCAAAAAAAAAGAGGAAGAAATTCGATTAAAAAAAAATTCATTTTTTTGTGATTTTTTTGCTGGAATACTATGGTCGATCATGCCTAACTTACTATTTTTTTTTATTTGAAAAGCTTAATAGTTTGAAAAAGTTTTCTCTGGTCGGAACACTCTGTACTATTTGCTCAACAACAGGCTATCTTTGTTGCAATCTGACAACATTAAGATATTTTTCCGAAATGGAAAAATCGAATGTGGTAGAAGGGGTAGAAAAAGAGCCGAAAGTGATAAAATAGCTTTATGCTCAACCACCTACAAAAACGCTACTTTTAACCACGGTTTATTTTGGATCTTCATCGCAACCCTTCAATTCACGTAAGACATTATAGCCAACTTTAAAAAATAAACAACGATTTTACAGAAAATTTTTCATTAAGTCTGTGTATGAATCAGGGGCAAACAGAAAATTTTTGTTGAGGGAAAATCATTTTGGTTTGGAGAAATTGAATCGATACTAATTTTTTATTTTTTCATTATGGCAACCAAATCTGCACCTCAGACTACTTTCGAAAAAAAAGTGTAAACTGACTATAAATTTGCATGCTGCCCTCAATTTTAGTTATCGACTTTTTTCCAGTTCCTACCTTTGAATTCTTTTGAATTTCAGTTTACGAAAACTTATCTAAAAAGATGTTTTTAACTGCAACAAAGCGTGCCAGCGTGAACAAATGAACAAATTTTTCAGACATTTTTTTTCATGAAAATTTTTTTTCACGATTTGTAAGTTAGTTTTGTCCCACTCGCCCCCCTTAATTTTCTATTTTCACAGTTGTTCTACGCATTATAACGGCTAAATGCGTGATACTACGATGTAAACTATGAAGAACAAATCTGTTCACTATTGTTGTTTTATTCACCATGAAAACTTTTGTTGCATTATGACAACGTAAAATTAATTTTCAAAACATGAAATTCAAATAAGGAGGGAAAGTGGAAAAGAGCCATCAATTGAACATTGCAAAACCACTAGTGGAATGCCAAAATTTACAATATCAAAGCTCAAAAATTACATTCAGGTAAAAGTATAATGATTAAATCAAGGTAAAGTATAAAGACCAAATATGGTTGTCATGGCCTAGTTAGTCTGCAGGCCAGTTTCGGTAACAATCGGACTATGTAAACAAACAGTTTTGCAAGTAAAATTTTGCGGGAGGGGGAAAGGAAAAAGATCCAAAAGAGCCTTCGACTGTTTTCTTAAATTATGTTTTTTTTTGAAACTTTTTTTGAATTTTTTATTCAATTTTTTGGCTCTTTTTCCTTTTCCCCCCACCTGCAAATTTTTACATGCTAATTTGTTGACCATATTGTCCGATTGTTACAAAAATTTACATACAGACTAATAAGGCCACGACAAACATATGTGGTCTCCATACTGAACCTCGTAAAACCACTCGTTACACTAATATATTGAAGCTCGTGTGAGGTGGGGGGGGGGGGGGGTTTGAAGGAAAAAGAGCCAATTTTTTTTTTGACGTAATGATTTGCGTTTCATTTTTTGTTCACTAGCATAGTATGCTATGCTTGCGTTGTATCGCAGGTGTTGCAAAGATCCGCTTTGTCTCTATGTTTAAGATCTTTTTATTGTAAAAATTGATGTAGTAGGAACGATGGGGAAACGGCAAAAGAGCTTAACTTTCATTGATCTCTGAAACTTACACTGATAAAAAATCGATTTTTTGGTTTGAAGTCACTCTTATTCAAATGAACTTCAACTTGGATTACTTGACTTTTGACATATTTGGTAGTAAAATGCACGTGTTTTAAAAATTCTTTCAAATCGACCGCGCTTGACATGGGAAGTGCACAATCCTCTCAATTCGATGAGCAGCAGCGCACAGCCTTAAGAGGAGGCGTGCTGGCAGACTACGAAACCATTTACAACTACTTCGACGACGGCAAGGGGGACGATGATGCCCGTCTGGGAGGAGCAGGGGCAGCCACAACAGGAGGCCCATCCCACGGCCACGGCTACGCCCCCACCAACCCCAACCAGCATCATGGCAACAAACCCAACTCAAAAGCCAGCAGCAGATCCACCCCATCTTCTCATCACAACAAGTCCAAGCGTCACCACAACCAAAATGGCACAGGTTCTCACTACGCCACGTCCTCTCAGGTACAAACAAACACTCATCTAATAGCTTTCGATTTACTTTAAAGCTCCCTTTCCATTATGTAACGTGTTTCTTTTACAGGCTCTTTTCCAGTTTCCCTCCTTCAAAATACCGAGTTTTATGTTTGTTTTACGTGTTATTACATCTAAATGCGGGATGTTACGCTGTAAAGTATGAAGAACAAATCTGTTCAGAATTGTCGATTTGTTCACCACGCCAATTTTCATTGCATTATGACAACGTTAAATTGACTTTTCAAAATTGAATTCGAAAGGGGGGGGGGGACTGGAAAAGAGCCCTTTTCCAATATCCACCGTAAGATCGCTTTCAGTTCAGCTCATATACCAATTTTCCCCGGACCACATCTATTTTGCGCAATACGCATGACACTTATAATGGAAAAATAGTGTTCAATTTATGAATAACAACAGATGTAGAACAGATCAAAATAGTTTATTACATTTTTTGGTAAAATTTGAGTTCATTCTTTTTCAACTATTTGAAAGGGACCGTAAATGGAGATTATTCAATTATCACTGACTCTGAGACAAGTTTTAGCCATACCGTGGGGTTTTATGTGTTTGTTTCCTGGTCAAGTCTCATTGCACTTGTCGGTCTTAAAAAATTTCGAAATTAGAAAATCTAAAAGTTCGAAAAATGTGTTAGCAACATTATGTGCTCTTTGCATAGCAACAGTACTCTCGTTTAATACCCTTCAGAACTGTTTTTTATAGTATGGTGAACATCGGCGCAAGTCGCGAAGTCTGTACGAAGAGAGTTTCTGTGGGGCTGAGGCAAGTCATGCGCCTGAAGAGCGAGATCCGATCTATCAACAGGGAGGGGGCAAGCGAGGGGCAGCCGCAGTGGCAGACAAAATATATGCCAATGCTGGCGACGGACAACACCCCCTGCATCAAGGAAACAAGACAGGGGGCCAGAGGGGTGGCAACAACAAGAGCGGCAACAAACTGCGCACCCAGAAGCAGATCAACGCGGAGTTGATGGCGAGGAATGCTGAGAACCAACTGAGGGAGATGGAGAAGAAAAAGTACTCGGACAGGTGAGTGAGTCATTGCAATGTTTGACATTCCGCTCTTTCCTTTCCACGTCTCTTACAAACATGCCAACCGTTATAAAACAATGCTATAAACAAACATGTTTTAAAAATTTGCAGGTGGGGGAAAAGGAAAAAGTGTTGTTCAGTTCAGACTATTGAAATAGGAGAGAAACAGGCTCTATTTCAGTTTCCCACCCATCATAAATTTACGAAACGTCTAATTGCTGTTAAGAACATGAAAAGACTCCTTTTTCATTTGCCCCCCCCCCCCTGTGCAAAAATTATTCACGTGGCCATTTGCATCTAAGAAATGTTATGGGTCTTTTCCAGTTCTCCTACCCCCTCCCCCTGTAACTTTTTCTAAAATTCAATGCATGAAAGTCTTTTTGAAATAACTTTTCATGTTATAAACTGCATCAAAGCGTGTTAACGTGAACAAGTTAGCTAACTTTAAAAACATTTCACATGAAAACTGCCTTGCCGACAGTTTTTGGACAGCTTTATTTTGCAATTTTTTGAGGGGATGGGAAACTGGAAAAGAGCCAATGTTGTACAAATTTGATCGGCTCTTTTCCAGTTCCCCTCTTTCAAATTCAAATTTGAAAAATATATTTAACGTTGTCATAATGCAATGAAATTTGACGTGGTGAACAACTCGACAATTCTGAACAGGTTTGTTCATCATACTTTACAGCGTAGCATCACGCATTTAGCCGTAACAACACGTAAAACAAACATAAAACTAGGTATTTTGAAAAGGGGAAAACTGGAAAAGAGCCACTTGATCACCTGTTCACGCTTACACGTTTTAATGCAGTGTATAAAAGCAAAATTCATTTAAAAAACACATCGGCCGAGTGATATATCATAATGAAGCCCTTTCAGTTGAGATTCGAATGACGTTAAAAAAATTTCCAAAAATGGGCTCTTTTTCCTCCCCCACCTTCAAAAAGTTACTAATTAAATCTTTGTTATCATTGTTCGACTAAAATGAAATTCGGCATACAGATTCATTTGTCCATGACAAACATTTTTGATTGTCATAGGTATGCTCCGGTGGTGTGGGGGTGATGGGATATGGGAAAAAGAACCCAAAAAATTTTCACAGACTTGAAAAAAAAACTGTCTGAAACTTTTGTCTAGTTTCGAGCAAATAAAGCAAGCAAAAAGACTTATAATAGGCTTATAATACTTAGTTTTAAGCTCTAAATACAAAAATAACTATTATATACTCTTATTCAAGTAAAATTTGTTCTAAAAATTTCTTTGAGTGTCTTCATGAGAACAAAATTTTAAGGAAGAATCAAAGAAAAATCTTTACAAAAAGCTTAGAACAAACTTTGATAAGTTTTTGGTTCTTTTTCCATCCGTCCCCCGCCCAAATGCGTACTTTTACTTAACTTTTTGTTCATATGATTAGAAAAACTGGCATTTCAACTAGTTAGGCTATAACAAACATATTTAAGGTTCACACTCAGGCCTGTAAATCCTTCATAACATCATAAAAAATATGCGCATATGAGGAAGGGGGAAAAAGCCAGTAATTTAGTTTGAGATATTTTTGATTTTCTTTTGCGTTGATAATTCTAAGCAAACGTACCTTATTCTTTTTGGCTCTTTTGCATTCCCCCGTTTAGTTTTTTTTCTGAATTTCAATTGAGGAAAGCCTATTTAAAATAGTTTTTGATGTTCTCAATTGCAGTAAAATTGTTCAGCTTGAACAAGTGCACAATATTGTACGATACATTTTGACGTATGAACAATTTTTAAACAATTCCATGTTGCAGTCTTATGAGAAGTTGAGAAACTGGAAGAGAACCTTCGTTTTTCTATCAAAATTCGAGGCTTTCCTTAGACCCTGCAATCACACCAAAAACAAAAAAACGACGCAAATTGAAAAAAAAATCGAAAAAATCTGCCCAGCAACCGACTATCCTTTTTTTAAAAAAAAAATCAAGAATAAAGAGTTCGCCTCAGCTCCTTTCCATTCCCCCCATTTTATTTTTTTCTTTTCATAATTTTTCTGTTCAGGGGGAGGATGTTAACTTGGTCCCGATTGCACCCAATATTTTTTTTAAATTAATTTGGTTACTCAAGTTTTTCAAGCTTCGAACTGGATCTTGTTAACTATTTCTGCCCAATAATGGGTGTTTTTTCGCGCAATTTGTATTACTCGCTCCTAAGATAATATTATTCTGCCTAAAATATTGTTCTACGTTTTGTCAAATAATATTTCATTGTTCTTGAGTGACTTTTATTTTTGCTTTCTCTTTTCTGATTGGTTATTTCAATTTTTGTCTAAATACTGTCGAGTCCTAATACGCGGTTGTCTAAATACTGCTCTGCAACCGTAACCCGGTTTTAAGTGGTACTAGTACTACTACATTGCCAACACGAGAAATTCCTGCGATTTTGAGTGTTAGGCTTTTTATGCGGTATTCATGCCGGATTATGAGCCGCAGCGTGGGGTCCGGCAAATAAAACGACAGGACATTCAGACGACAACCGGGCTCTTTTCCAGTTCCCCCTTTCAAATTCAACTTTGAAAAGCTTATTTAACCTTGTCATAATGCAATGAAATTTAGCGTGGTGAACAAATCAACAACTGTGAACAGATTTGTTCTTCATACTTTACAGCGTAACATCACGCATTTAGCAGTAATAACACGTAAGACAAACATAAAACTTGGTATTTTGAAAGGGGGGAAAACTAGAAAAGAGCCACTTGATCACCTGTTCACCCTTACACATTTTAATGCAGTGTATAACAGCAAAAGTCATTTTAAAAAGACATCGGCCGAGTGATATATCATAGTGATGCCCTTTCAGTTGAGATTCGAATAATGTTATTAAAATTTCCAAAAACGGGCTCTTTTTTCTCCCCCACCTTCAAAAAGTTACTAATTAAATCTTTGTTATCATTGTTCGACTAAAATGAAATTCGGCATACAGATTCATTTGTCCATGACAAACATTTTTGATTGTCATAGGTATGCTCTGGTGGTGTGGGGGTGATGAGATATGGGAAAAAAAACCCAAAATTTTTTTACAGATTTGAAAAAAAAACTGTCTGAAACTTTTGTCTAGTTTTGAGGAAATAAAGCAAGCAAACACTTATAATAGGCTTATAATACTTAGTTTCAAGCTCTAAATACAAAAATAACCATTATATAATCTTGTTCAAGTAAAGTTTTTTCTCAAAATTTCTTTGGGTGTCTTCTTGAGAACAAAATTTTAAGGAAGAATCAAAGAAACATTTTTACAAAAAGCTTAGAACAAACTTTGATAAGTTTTTGGTATTTTTTCCATCCGTCCCCCCGCCCAAATGCGTACTTTTACTTAACTTTTTGTTCATATGATTAGAAAAACTGGCAATACAACTAGTTAGGCTATAACAAACATATTTAAGATTCATACTCAGGCCTGTAAATCCTTCATAACATCATAAAAAATATGCTCATATGAGGAAGGGGGAAAAAGCCAGTAATTTAGTTTGAGATATTTTTGATTTTCTTTTGCGTTGATAATTCTAAGCAAACGTACCTTATTCTTTTTGGATCTTTTGCATTCCCCCGTTTAATTTTTTTTTCTGAATTTCAATTGAGGAAAGCCTATTTAAAATAGTTTTTGATGTTCTCAATTGCAGTAAAAATTGTTCAGCTTGAACCCGTGCACAATTTTTTACGATACATTTTGACGTATGAACAATTTTTAAACAATTCCATGTTGCAGCCTTATGAGAAGTTGAGAAACTGGAAGAGAGCCTTCGTTCTTCTATCAAAATTCGAGGCTTTCTTTAGACCCTGCAATCACACCGAAAACAAAAAAACGACGCAAATTTAAAAAAAATCGAAAAAATCTGCCCAGCAACCGACTATCCTTTTTTTTTTAAAATCAAGAATAAAGAGTTCGGCTCAGCTTCTTTCCATTCCCCCATTTTAATTTTTTTCTTTTCATAATTTCTCTGTTCAGGGGGAAGGATGTTAACTCGGTCCCGATTGCACCCAATATTTTTTTTCAATTAATTTGGTTACTCAAGTTTTGCAATCTTCGAACTGGATCTTGTTAACTATTTCTGCCCAATAATTGGTATTTTTTCGCGCATTTTGTATCACTCGCTCTTGAGATAATTTTATTCTGCCTAAAATATCGTTCTACGTTTTGTCAAATAATATTTCATTGTTCTTGAGTGACTTTTATTTTTGCTTTTTCTTTTCTGATTGGTAATTTCAATGTTTGTCTAAATACTGCTCTGCTACCGTAACCCGGTCTTAAGTGGTACTAGTACTACTACATTGCCAACATGAGAAATTCCTGCGATTTTGAGTGTTAGGCTTTTTAAGCGGTAATTATGCCGGATTATGAGCCGCGGCGTGGGCTACGGCAAATAAAACGACAGGACATTCAGACGACAACCGGGCTCTTTTCCAGTTACCCTTTTCAAATTCAACTTTGAAAAGCTTATTTAACCTTGTCATAATGCAATGAAATTTAGCGTGGTGAACAAATCAACAACTGTGAAAAGATTTTTTCTTCATACTTTACAGCGTAACATCACGCATTTAGCAGTAATAACACGTAAGACAAACATAAAACTCGGTATTTTGAAAGGGGGAAAACTGGAAAAGAGCCACTTGATCACCTGTTCACCCTTACACATTTTAATGCAGTGTATAACAGCAAAAGTCATTTTAAAAAGACATCGGCCGAGTGATATATCATAATGATGCCCTTTCAGTTGAGATTCGAATAATGTTTAAAAAATTTCCAAAAATGGGCTCTTTTTTTCCCCCACCTTCAAAAAGTTACTAATTAAATTTTTGTTATCATTGTTCGACTAAAATGAAATTCGGCATACAGATTTATTTGTCCATGACAAACATTTCTGATTGTCATAGGTATGCTCTGGTGGTGTGGGGGTGATGGGATATGGGAAAACGAACCCAAAAATTTTTCACAGACTTGAAAAAAAAAACTGTCTGAAACTTTTGTCTAGTTTCGAGCAAATAAAGCAAGCAAACAGACTTATAATAGGCTTATAATACTTAGTTTTAAGCTCTAAATACAAAAATAACTATTATATACTCTTATTCAAATAAAATTTGTTCTAAAAATTTCTTTGAGTGTCTTCTTGAGAACAAAATTTTAAGGAAGAATCAAAGAAAAATCTTTACAAAAAGCTTAGAACAAACTTTGATAAGTTTTTAGTTCTTTTTCCATCCGTCCCCGCCCAAATGCTTACTTTTATTTAACTTTTTTTTCAAATGATTAGAAAAACTGGCATTATAACTAGTTAGGCTATAACAAACATATTTAATCTTCATACTCAGGCCTGTAAATCCTTCATAACATCATAAAAAAAATATGCTCATATGAGGAAGGGGGAAAAAGCCAGTAATTTTGTTTGAGATATTTTTGATTTTCTTTTTGTTGATAATTCTAAGCAAACGTACCTTATTCTTTTTGGCTCTTTTGCAATCCCCCGTTTAGTTTTTTTTCTGATTTTCAATTGAGGAAAGCCTATTTAAAATAGCTTTTGATGTTTTCAATTGCAGTAAAATTGTTCAGCGTGAACAAGTGCACAATTTTTTACGATACAAATTGACGTATGAACATTTTTTAAACAATTCCATGTTGCAGTCTTATGAGAAGTTGAGAAACTGGAAGAGGGCCTCCTTCGTTTTTCTATCAAAATTCGAGGCTTTCTTTAGACCCTGCAATCTGCAATCACACCGAAAACAAAAAAACGAAGCAAATTGAAAAAAAAATCAAAAAATCTGCCCAGCAACCGACTATCCTTTTTTTTAAAAAAAAATCAAGAATAAAGAGTTCGGCTCAGCTCCTTTCCATTCCCCCCATTTTATTTTTTTTCTTTTCATAGTTTTTTAATGTGTTTTTCTGACTAAAAGTGTGATATTACGATTTAAATTATAAAGTAAAATTTGTTCACAATTTTAATTTTGCTCGCCATGTCAATTTTTTAAATTATGACAAAAACTTTCAACAACCTAACAATTCGATTAAGAGTTGATGAGTTCAGACTCGAATATAGGTCGAGATTTTTTTTTCACGAACAGTCCTGAAATAATCTAATGTTTTACAGAAGTGCATTCATGTATATTACTGCATTTATGATTGCTTTTAAGTACACTATTGGACAAAATTAAACGCAAAATTACGTTTTTACTCTATGCCTTTTTTCAAGGTTCATTTTGGACAAAGTTCATTCAGAATTTCGGATCAATTGAGCAATCTCCCCCCCATTCTCGCGTGGGGGGGAGATAGCTCAATAGGTACTTGAGACATGTTTATAACCACTTGAAAATAGTTTGAATGACCTGAAATCATAAAACATAATTTCCAACGAATGTGAAAAGCCAAAATTTACGATGAAAAAGCTCTTAAAGTTTCATTTAGATTGAAAAAAGAATCAATAAAACAGGCATAAAAAGCAACTTTTTTCTTTCTTAAATTGACAAAAAAAATTTGCGAACAATATTAAGGTGCTGCGGAGAACCCTTTTTGCTATTCAGATACAAGGCTAGAGCACCAACCCTGGTAATTTGCTTTCTTCGATGAGGCTATGGTCGCCTAAACAAAATTCTCCAAAAAAAAAACATTTTTTTTTTCCATAAATTTCGATTTGTTTTTTCAAAATTTTTCTCGATACTCATGTAAGATAAACTTCATTCGGTCAATTGATTGCGTGCTATAAACACATCATCCATCTACTTGCGTTTGCTGACGTCTTTTTGTATCGTTTATTCCTTTTTGCTGGGGGGGGGTAGCTCAATTGGTCATTACGGGGAGGAGATTGCTCAATTGATCCAGAATTTCATCAAAATTTTTACATCGACCCGCTGCAAATGATCTAAGCTACACTCTCTGAAAGTTTCAATTTTTGATTTGAATCACTTACCAGTTTTTTCTACGTCTCAAAATACCAATTAGAAAATGCCAATTGGAAGAAGTTTTGTGGAAATTCAAAGTAAATATTGTCCAAAATGGTTCTTGAAGTTAGACTTTTTAGACAGTAAAATTTGAATTTGCGTTTAATTTTGTCCACTAGTGTAGATATGAACTTACTGAGTTCAATTTGCGAAAAGGGTGGCAAATTGCACTCTCTGAATGGCGGAAAAAAGTGATTTTGCAACATTTTGAAGGACATCGGCTAAGCAGAACAGACGGAGTAAGAGTATGAATCAGCAGCCTATCCACGTGGACACTCAAAGTGCAGAGTACTGGCAGAAGAGACGCCAGCTGGAAAAAGTGCTCAAGTCTGACGAACTGTTGAATGCACAGAATAATGAGAACAAGAGCCAGAAGAAGAACAAGAACAGTCGCAAGAAAGAGTTGCAATTAGGGGGAGAAGAGAACAATACTAAAGGCTAGTTATTAAACTCAATGATCCTGTTTAATATATTCCAGGGTACCATAAAAGCAATTCATTCTATGCCATTCTGATTATTCGCCCAAATACCTCGTCTTCCAAGCTAATGTTCATAAATGATAGTACGCCTCCTACATTTACAGCATCTTTGAAAGGTCCACCAAATTAAATATGCCACCAACTTAAATATGTCCAAAAGGCAGTTGAGAGGTAACTTTCTCATTCTTTCAGAAATCCAATTGTTTTTTCGAACTTCTGTTTGAAACTACTTTGTGATGAAATAGTTCCTTGAATTGCACTGCCCCCACTCAGTAAAAAGAGACAATAATATATTATAATGGATTTTTATTGTCAGTCTCCATAAATTTCAAAAAGAGATTATAATCGATAAAAAATGGATTATAATGTTACAATTTTTTTGAAACAAAAAACCCATTATAATCGATTGTTTTTTGAAAAAAATTTCTGAAATTTTATTGAATTATAATCCATTTTAATCGATTATAAACCACTTTTATTCAAAAATTGCTTCATTTAGTTTTTTTGTTTTGTTTTGTTTTGCGTGCTTTTTTTTCAGTTGGTTTCTTTTCTTACTGTTTACTGTTTAATTTCTTACTGTTTACTGCAAGGACGGATTTAGGGGGGGGGGGGGCGAGGGACGGATGCCTTTTTTTAGGGATTCGCCACCTGTGTCCCAAAGGGTTCCCTCTTTGTACTGTTTTGAGATATCCGTATTTGGTGACGGACCCTTTGGCCTTTGATGCAAATAAAAACTAATTTTGAGGGGGAGCGCGCGCAAAAAAAAACGCAATTTTTTTCCCCAAAAAATGCCTAAAAAATGCCGTTTTTGGCCTGTTTCATCAAAACTTTGCCTGCGGTGCATGCGTTAAATCCAAATTTCTCAATGAATGATTTGATTTTTTATTTTCGAGGTGCCAAACGAGACCGCTCGAATAATAGCAACAACAACAACAATCCGGAAAAGGCAGCTCGTAAGAAAGAGAGGTTGAAAAACTTGCATGCCGGAGATGATCAAAAGGCAAACGATACAGGTGCTGCTAAAACAGCAGGAAAGCGTGAAGGTCGAGCAACTAACAGAACCGAGGCTGATAAAGCCAAGAGTCGTTCGAGGTCAAACAAGTCTGAGTATGGCGCCAAAAAGGAGAAGGACACTCTCGCTGCCAATACCAAAACCGAGGCTGAACTTCTTGAAGAGTTACGTCAAGATGACGAAAAACCAATGCGACCTCAAGATCGTGCTCGCGGCGAGTTGGTATCCCAGCATGTTCCGCACTACGCGTTGCCGACTCGCAAAATGGAGCTCCGTAGCGATGGAAGACTCAGTAAATTGTATGTTCCAAAGAAACCTCAATATAGTTCGTCAGAATGGCCCGAAGACCTTGACCGAAACTACTGCAAGCTTGTCGTCGATACTTTTAAAGACATGTACTCAGAGTTAATCAGTGATCCGAATTGGGTTTACAATCAGCGTAAAAACTACTTAAACTTCCTCAATACAGCAGAATGGCAGGAAATGGACCTCAAGTTGGCAAAAATGAGTTTCAACCAATTGCTACAAGAGGAGCCCTTACAGAAGATATCCACGTTCTAGGATGCCCGCCACACAGGAAAAGGGTCTTGTTTTTCCTCTCTGCTCACAGTATTGAATCAATCAACCGCCATAATTAAATATTATAAAACTGAAGACTTTTTTTACTGGCTGATAGTCAAAGGAGCATGTATTAGATATGCAGATTCAAAAAAAAAATAATTGAAAAATGTGTTACCTTTTTATCACAAAAGACGATTACTGTGGAAGTAACCATTTTTTGAACACAATAAGCAATGGAAAAAAGTTGAAAAAAACTTGATTCAAGTTTCATCGATTGGTTAAGCTCAATTATTAATGAAAAGTTTGGCATCGGGTTTTTTACCCGCTTTAGAAAAAAGAAAATTTAGACAATTTGGTTTAAAATTTTTCACTGTTTTCAAAAAAATAGAATTTCTCAAAACTTTTTTCAGTTTCCAAAACAATGACACCAATGAGAAGATTGCTCACTTCCCTTTTCACAGAAACGATCCACCGAAAACTAAGATTTAGAGTCCAATGAACAGAATAAACTGTGGGAAGCTCCCCTGCATAACCAGCTACTTCCAAAATTTTTACACAAAAAGTTATTATCCACGGAAAACTCAAATTTTCGATTTTTGGCCGTGTTTAGTAACTGTTTGAATTTTCCAAAAACTACCCTCCAAAGTCTCAAATTTTGTTTCAACCAAATCAAAAGGTTGAGCGGATCTTCATTACGTAAGCGGTTGTGCCCAAGTTTTTCCACGAAAACTTCTGGCTCTTGAAAAGTCTATTTTTGATTTTTGACCAATTTTTTTTTTAATTTTTTGGTTTCTCAAAAACTACTCTCCCGACTAAAATTTGTTCGGATTCAATAGTGAAAACAGGTTTTAAAAGATTTCTCTCTTTTGGCGGCTAGGACTAAAAAAAACTATCAAAAATTTGCCCCCAGAAAAAACAATTGTGAGTTTTTGAGGCTTATTTAATCTTTTTCATTTTTCTGAAAAAGTACCCTCCCAAATCAAAAATTTCGGAATCAATCAAAAATTTGAATTCAAGTAATTTGAAAAATTCTTCCTGAACGACTACGCTCATTTTTTTTACACAAAAAAAATATGGCCCTCGAAAAGTTTTTGATTTTTTTGTCGAATTTTTGATTTTTTTATTTTCAAATTTTATCGAAAACTATCATCCGAAAATTGAGACTTCAGGCTAAAAAAAATGAGAAAAACTCCATTGTAAAGCAACAACTTTCAAAAATTCTGACAAAAAAATCATTATTTTGATTTCTTGAACGTTTTTTGATTCTTTTCGATTTTTATCGAAAGTATAGAGCCGAATCTGATATCAAATTATTAATCGAGACAAAAGAAGGCAAGCATCCGTGCATAAACAACTACGCCATAATAATTATAATGAAAATTTCATGTCTTTAAGATAATTTTAGCTTCTCAAAAAAATTCATTCTTTATTTTATTGGAGAAACAAACTGAGGCTTTGGGTGAAGCCCAATTTTAAAGTTTTCAAAACTATCCATCAAGATAACAAATTCAAAAAAATTTAAATAACTACTTTAGCTCTAGATGGGCCCCTAGTTCTTGTTTGTTAAAAAAAGATATTATGAAAAAGAGATAAGGATTTGTGTTTTTTATTGCGCTTGGGAATAGTTTTTCATTAATTTCACAAAGAGGCGAAGCCGAGCTTCGCATCACTTGCGATGCAACTCAAACACAAAAAACACACAAGTCGAAAAATATTTTAGATGTTGAAAAAAACCAGGTAAACCAAAATTTTTGTATGTCTCAAAAAAAAGCAATAGGGATTTACCTCTGGAGGTATTTGTTTGATATTGAATGAAACTGCTATACTGATGCGGCACGAAATATTTCGAAAATTGAACGTTGCCTAAAACATTAGTTGATTCTTTACTAAGATAAGTGAGAAAAGTAAAAGTTTTGAGGTAACCAAGCTCCCCAAAGAGATAGCTAGTTTTAAAGTAAAGCTTTCACCAACCTGTTTTTTCGATTGAACCTATGATATCAAGTTTGGCAGCATAGTTAGCAAGAAAAGTCCAAACAACGGTCAATTCATCAAAAATTTGAAATTTCCGAGAGCCATAGTTTTTTGCTTTAAGAGCATTGCGCGTAGCCGCTTATGCAGAAGGGATTCATTCAACCTGTAATTTCGATTGAAACCAAAAAAACGGTCAAAAAAAATCTGAATTTTGACTTTTTCGAGGACGATAACTTTTGCTACCAGAAAAGTTTTGAGGTAGTCGCATAATCAAATGAGCTTCCTGCAGCCCGTTAATTCAATTTACTCAAAATCTCAAATATGGCAGGATAGTTTTCGAAAATATTCAAAATATTTAAATAACTGTCAAAAATCAGAAAAAAAATTACTATTCCGAGCACCAGAAAAAATTGGTTTCAGAAAAATTTAGGAAAAGTCGCTCAAGTTAATTAGTTTGACATAACCAGTTCTTTGAAATCAACCCAAAATCGCAAATATGGCAAGGTAGTTTTCGAGAACGTTCAAAAACTTAAGAAATTGACTATTTCGAGCGCCAGAAAAATTTGGTGTCAGAAAAATTTGGGAAAAATCGCTCAGGCAAACTAGTTTCCATAAACCAGTTCTTTGAATTCAACCCAAAATCGCAAATATTGCAGGGTAGTTTTCGAGAACTTTCAAAAACTTACGAAAAATTTGATTATCCCGATGACCATAACTTTGAGTAAAAATTTTGTGTGTAGCAGCTCATGCATGGGGATTTTTGAAACCGCTCTATTCATTCAAACTAAAATTTCATGTTTGAGAGGTTTTTTTAAGAAAACGAAAAATCAAAAAAAAGGGTCAAGTATTCCCACACAGGCTTTTTCGAAGGATGTAGACGGAGGACTCAAATGAAAAGAGACTCTAGGGAGTATACAGGCACACTGGGAAGTAGGCGGTTATTCAATTGATACCTCTTTCTGAAAATCAGTGGAAGTTTCCGAGAAAGCTAAAATGTTTGCAATGAATTTCGAAACAATTTTCCATAATGAAAAAAATTCCAAATAACGATTGGTGAACATACAACCAGCTCGAAAAATGCAGAGGAGAGCGTTAAGTTGTGATTCTCTTGAAACAACCCAAAAATAGGTCATTAAGCCGATGTAAAACATTTGATACCTCCAAGCTAATTTGGCCGGGAACGCAAAAAAGTTTGATTTCAATCGAAGCGTAATAATCATTAGTTTCAAAAAATACGTTTTAAAGAGTAGGAATGACCACCCATTCCCCTGAGTGCCTGCATATACGCTTAGAAACTGCCCTACCAAATGTGAGATTTTGGTTCAATCTTAAAAAAAGCTTGAGAAGAAATCCCCTCTATAAACAACTGTGTCCAATTTTTCTTGCAGCAAAGGTTATGGCCCTCATGAAAGTCAATGGTTTGATTACTTTCCGTTTTTGATTTTTTTTACTTTTGAAAACCACCCAGCCTAATCTGATATCAATTTTTTTTGATAAAAAAGGCAATGCTTCATGGAATTCCTTCGTGCATAAATAGCTACGCCTGAGAAATTTTAAGATATATTTATTTTATGGAGAACTTGTAAGATAAGTTTATTTCTTTGAGAAGATCAATTTTCTCATAAAAAATTCCTTCGTAATGATTAGAGAAACAAATTAAGATTTTGGTTGAAGCCTAATTTTTTTATTGGAATTACCCAGCTCATACTGCATCAGACAAAAAATCCAGAAACTATCAAACAGAAACTTCCAGTTTTATTTAGACCCCTTGTTTTAGTTTTGTGAAATTTTATTATCAAAATCTACGTCAATTGTTTTCAAAAAAGGGCACGAATGGACACACGCTCACCCCCCTGTGTGCTTGAATACTCCCCCAGCCTCTTTTCAGTTTTCTCCACTTGTGCAGCTTTGGATCTTTCACAAAATAATCCTGCTACATCTGAGGTGTCGGGTTCAATAGAAAGAACGGACGGTTTGTGGGAAAACTCCACCCATGTTTTATTAAAGCTAGAAATATGGCCCTCGATATACCAAATTTTCAAATTTTTTTAAACAGTTTCTGAATTTTTTTCAATTTTCTTGGAAATCAATCTCCTTAATCTGAACTTTTGAATTTATTCGGAACCAAAAACTGCGGCAAGCTTTTTTCCATAATTGCTGCAACGCAATTTGCAACACAAACAACGTTGCTACTCAGAAAACAACAGTTTTCGATGTTTGGCTGTTTTTTGGAGTTTTGAATTTTGCCTCAAAAACTGACCTGATAAATTTCATATTCTGGGTTCAATCGAACAAACTAGTTCTAGGGAGCTCTCCCGATTAAGTAATTACGCACAATTTAAGAAATTCATGACCGTAAGAAAAGTTTCAATTTTTTGATATTTTTTTCTTAAAAACAATTCAGACAAATCTGATATCAAAGGTTAAATTGAAAAATCAGATTGTGGGAAATCTGTTCGCGTGAGCGGCTACGCTTCTGTTTTTTTAAAGAAAACAAGTTATGGCATTCGGAAGGAACCAACGTTCGACTGTTTTTCGGAAACTTATCGACTTTCCTCGGAAACTACGCGGCCAATTCTCAGATTTATTGGTCAAACAAATACATAGATTATAATCTTCTTGCTGCCTCAACAATGGGTAAAGTCATGTTTGTTACCGTTTTTTTAAGCACTTTACTTTTCGCAAAAACTACCTGACAGTTTCCGAGGTTAAGGGTTTGATCGAAGACTCAGGTTGCAGAAGTTTATTCTTCAGAAGCGGTGAATAAAGAAATTTGGTGAAATAATGTTACATCCTTGGGCAAAGTGCGGTTTCTGAAAATTCTTGAAAAACACCCCAACAAATCTGAGATGAGATTTTGAGTTCAATCGAAAAAACAGGTTATGTGGATCTTCTTTGCATAGTTGGATCCATTTTACAAGTTAAATCGATAAATACAAGTTTTGGATATCTTTCCGGCAAAATCAACTACCCTTTAAATTTTATAGATAAACTGTTGAGAACTGAGGACAATGCAAGTTTTTGAGATTAC